ATATTTTGTAAATTGTCGATTAAGGAAACTGAATATTTAGATCCTAGATTTAGGGAATTATATAACTAAATTCGCAGAAAACACATTCGACACTACTCGGTAGATGATAAAAAATGTGGTAAAATTTATATTTTAGCATGGTAGAATATATTAAGAATGGTAGAATACGGATTTTGGATTTGGTAGGTGTTAGTGGGTTACTCGGTAGATGATAAAATCTTTTTATTTCTAATTATTTTTATCAGGTTACGGGTAGTTTAGACAAAAAAATGGTAAAAAATGAGAAAAAGGCCTAGGAACAAAATGATTTTCAATGTGGGATAATTTTACAAATCTCCCTTTTATTAAATCAAACGAAAAATCTGAAATCCAATGAACAAAATTCTAATTGATAAAAGCAGTATTGGTTTTCTAGAAAATTCTTCTTGACTTTGATCATATTCATTTTTAAACTATCCTCACTAATGGATTGAGAATTTGGACCTCACTAATGGGTTACATTTACATTTCAAATTTCGGCTCATTAAATAAAACATCAAAAAAAAAACAAAAAGGAAGTGTGGCTGCTGGGATCGAGCCCAGGTTCCCACGGCCACAACGTGGAGTAATAACCCCTATGCTACAACCACTTTTGTTGTCAAAATTAAAGCACATAAATTTACGTTTATAATTTTTATCGAACTTTTCAAGACTAACATAAATGAAATTAATGGTTTGTATTATGCATTCACAAGTTGAATGAAAATAATCATCAAAACTGAACTGGTTTGGAAATCTATATGTATCAATGGGCTGAATTTAGTTGTCCATTTAATCCGACTTATTGGACTTTAATATTGTGGTCCATTCAGCCCAAAACATAAAAAAAAAAAGAGAATCCATTTGATTAAATTGGTTTTTCACTTAAACCCTATTTTCTTCTACACATCATCTCCGAGAAACTTCACTGAGCTACTACAATGGCGAGAACCCTAGCTCGTTCCACCGCTTCACGCGTCGCCAAGCGTTTCTTCTCCACCTCCGGAGCCACCACCGCTAGTTCTCCATCTTACCTTCTCTCCCGTCGATCAACTCCGGCGATCTCACATGCCGTCGGATTCGTCTCCTCCTTGAATCGTTACACAACGATTCGGACTCGGATGGATAGGTCCGGTGGCTCGTACTCTCCGCTCAAATCTGGTTCGAATTTCAGCGAACGACCACCTACTGAGATGGCTCCGCTCTTTCCTGGCTGCGACTATGAGCATTGGTTGATCATCATCGATAAACCTGGAGGCGAAAACGCCACGAGGCAGCAAATGATTGATTGCTATGTTCAAACCCTAGCCAAAATTCTCGGAAGGTTAGATTTTTATTGTAATTGATGTGTTAATTTTGTCGAATCTGTAAAATTCTTTTATTCTATGTTTCGTGATAGTGATTGTACGGTGAAGAAGAACGTTGTTATTAGATCTATTGTTGTTGTTCTTTATGTTTATCAGTGAGGAAGAAGCTAAGAGGAAGATATACAATGTATCATGCGAAAGGTATTTTGGATTTGGCTGTGAAATTGATGAAGAGACATCAAACAAACTTGATGGTATGTATATCTGACTACTCTGGATTGTGTATTTTGTGTTTTAATGAAATGGGCGATGA